GGGGGGGGGGGGGGGGGGGGGGGGGGGGGGGGGGGGGGGGGGGGGGGGGGGGGGGGGGGGGGGGGGGGGGGGGGGGGGGGGGGGGGGGGGGGGGGGGCGAGAGATTTCTTCCTGTTTTTCTGGGAGTGGTCGTTAGGTGCTGTCCCATGAGCACGTGTAGTAGGGACCACAGTTAGCTTTGAATGCTGTTGCGAGGGAAGTCGGCGGGGCTGGGGGGAAGGGGAGTCATGTAAAACATGCGTTGTCGCCCCTCGAACGGCGTTGGGGTGCTGTGTTTTGCACCAGCAGATTGTGGAAACCCCGAGGGATTTATCAGGAAACATGAATAAAAACACAGGAGGACAACCCATTCGAGATATAACCACAGTCGAACGGGGTGTGTTGAAGTCTTTACATTGAATGGAAGGAAACCGGCTGGGTACTGGGCTTATGGGGATTTACGTTTACTTTCTTCATGTTTTGATACGGTGCCCACTGCAGTTTCGCCCCCATATTTTGTAGCTGCGGTTCGAAGCGTGAAAGAGGCCGAGACTCATCGGCGCAAGTAAGGTTGCATCTCTGGGTAGAGAGGCCTGGCGGCAATTGGCCGGCATGTATGGATGGGTCTCATCATCGTAAAATGCGTTTTATTGTGCTACTGCTGTTTAATAATGCACGGTCTAAGAATATTTGGGATGTAAAGGTGGCCTTGAAAAGCAATTATCCCGCCTCCCCAACGTCTGTCAAATACGATCGACTACTAGCTCTTTTGACAAGAAAATGCATACCATGGTATATGGTATGGTACGCTTTGGGCACGTGTCCCGTCATTCCGCATGGCTTCGGTGTGCGGAACGAGTGGGGCTGCGCTCGAACATGGCGTACAGAGAAATTCAGAACCACGCTCAGACCCACCCGCCGAGCAGCGGGGCGGAAACATCAGTCACGTGGAAGGATAAATTTGACGATTTTCAACGCTGGAAAGAGAACCACACACCCTCATCGGTTGTTCGTCAGGCACGTGGACGCTTGTAACATCTTGTCACACATGCACACACTCCTTCGACCCCCGTAAAAATCGGAAAGCCAAAAATCTACCGATTTAGACCATCTGACTCTCTTCCCTCACGAAGGACTAAGAGGTGTTTGAACGGGACGCGGCAGGCGAGCGGTTGTACTCTCAACCGCACGCGAATACAATTCGATGCTTTCAGCCTTCAGAACAAGCCAACACCAACCGACAACTCCAAGAGTCTGATCACTTACAGACGATGTGCACGGGTTCGAAAGACTCTACACCGACAAACTCGAAACACCCGTAGACACGACGTATCCACTAGTGCGAGTTTTTGTGTTCTTGTCAGGGGGGTGACTCCTGGGGCGAGCGATGGAACAGATCGCGTGCAACACACGACGACCTGAACAACCCCCCCCCGTATTTCCGCCCGGTAGCGACAACAAAAACCGAAACAGAAAAGCATACAAGACCACATTCGGACACGTGGGCAAGTCCTTCATGACCAACAACCTCCGTAGACATGAAGAACATGAAAATACATGACAAAAAAAGCAAGCTCACTAAAATTGCACACACATCTGGAAGCCGAAGGAATCAGGTTTTCACAAAACAGCACACGCCCTTCTAGTTACGTCACGCACGGGATGGCGTTTGCTTGTGCCGTTTTTTGGCACTACGTCGTCGTCACCCACCACAACTAAAAAGCGGAGCGCGAAACAATCACGACGCGAAAATTCGAAACCTCCTCGGCGGGTACAGTAGAAGCGCACATTGAACGGGGAAGGGAGGTCCCCCCTTCTAGTACGCTCACAAATCACGCACCGAAGCACATTGTACATCGCTGTGGTCAACACGTACTAGCTGGCAGACCGCACTACGCCCTTAAGAGCAGAGCGTTCGACGCTAAAAACAGGCACCCAGTTAGATCCAAACACAGCACATGCACACACACTAGCGCGGTCCATGCTAACAACAAAGACACAAGCACGCCGACAGAAGCACAGGAGGTGCCGGGAGAAGACGGAGGCTGTCACGCACGGTCACCACTTTCATCGTCGAAGGCAATGTTGGATACGGCGGACGGGTCCAACGCGGACGTCCGCGGCGCCCCCGCCGACACCACCGGCATCGGCAGCCACGGTTGGGCGAGAATCGGCCTCGCGGGGCTCCCCGCCCCTCCCGCACCTCCTGCTCTTCTCCTTCCTGCGTCTTCCTGTGTCCCCCCTGCTGCCGCTGCAGCTGTCGGCAAGGGCATGTCCTTCCCCTCTCCCCGACTGCTTCGTGCCCGCGACGGCGTGTCAAGGGAAAAGTCGTCGTCGTCGTCGTCGTCGTCGTTTTCGTCTTCGCTGCTTCCACCGCCGCCCCCGCCACCGTGATCGTTGCCCACTCGAAGGGACGGCCCCGCCTCCGTCGGAAGTGAGAGCGTCGCCGCCGTTGTTGTTCTTGTCGGCGGTGGTGGTTGTGATGACATCGTCGTCGGAGGTGGTGGTCGTGGTGGCGCCAGTAGCGTCGTCGCAGCCGTCGGCACCGGCGTTCCTCCCTCCTCCGCTCCGGCTCCCCCTCCCGCTCCCGCTCCTGCCGCTGCTGCTTGTCTATCCTCGGTTTCATCGTCATCCCCCTCCACGTCAACCTCCAAATCGTCGTCTTCGACGAAATTCTTCCGGTGGCTGTTCGCCAACACGTTGGACGTCCGCAACTTGCGAATCTCCGCCGCCGTGACCTCGTCGATTTTGGGGGGGGCGCGCCGTGGTGGTCGCAGAAGCGCGGAGGGAGGGGGGGGGCTGTCTCTTATA